TGTAGCTAAGGCTGCGAAGAACTTGGAAAATGCATTTAAAGCAAGTATTTCTCACTAATGTTTCTAGAAAAGGTGCCAACTTACCTCCTCAGGAGTCCTACAGAATGCAGACGGGAAGCCTTGGGCTGAGTTTCTATTGACACACTTTATGGTTTTTACGATTTTAAGTTAGAATTTTTTTTGGAGTGCTCTAGAGTGTTAGATCGGAGACTCAAACTGTTTTGGGTTCTCAAAGCTCAGCAGAGATATTGAAAGCGGAACTATCTGAGCCTCTCATTTTCATTTGTCATGAAAAGTAGTTTAACAGCACCGCAACCAGTTTTGTAAATAAATCCATTAATCGGATTGTTCTTCATACGAAAAAAATTTTCATTATTGTAGATATTAATGTACTCGTACTTTACGAAAAATGACTCTGAAGATGGCGCAACGCCGAGTTTGTTTTATTCACCTAACCATATTAGACAGGGGATGGCGAAAATGAGTTCCAAAAAAATCATACTCCCATCCCGTCCGAAGAGACAACCAACACCAATGCACTTCTGTCATTAACAGGATCTCTGCAGGCCATTTTTGCAAAAAAAAAAACTGTTTGAAACTTATTTTGATTCTGAAAACAACACAAGAAAATTTTTACAGTACAAAAAATCGAGTCCACAACAACAAATTTATAGGTATTTATTTGTATTCCATTATTTTTAGCATACACTCGCTAACATAGAAACCATGAGAGTATTCTTAAAGACTTCTAATCAATGTGTAATCAAATACATATTTGTGGTATTCACAACGGTGTTGTATGTCGTAAACTTTAAACGCCTAAAAAATATATTAAGAGAGTTCGCAAAGTAATATCAAAGTTATATTTTGAATTTTTGCAGTGTTGAAAAATAGTTGGATGTCGTTTCAAATTCTCTAAACATTTATTTAAGCTTTTAAATTTATGACATACAACAATACGACACTTACGACAGCGTTGTGAATCCCTCAAATATAAACAGGTCTTCGGCTAACTAAATACTATGAAAGAAAATATTAAAAAGAACAACGAAAAGCAGAAACAAAAGGCAATTATGATTTGAGGTCCTGCAACGCTAACCACGAAAACCGCTTTCTCAACGCAGCAGTGGGTCCTGTCGCCGACAAATGTTAGTGACTATGAATGTAGTATGTGTGTATACAAACAAGTTCACATATTGCAATGCCAACAATCAACAGCCAACACTTCCATAACAGTTAGAATTTTGTATTGCGCCTTGGTTTGCTAGCTCAGGGACAATTAAAAGTTAAGCCGTCCACTTTAACGGTCAATTGTGCATCGAACGTGGCCCGGAGCAGTTTATCGCAAGAAAGCTTTCAAGATTCACGAATTTCAAGACAAAGTACCATAGGCAGGAATTTTCAAAAAATTGTGAAAAGTGAAAATTTAACTTAAGTTTGTCTCAATTATTTTCTGAAATTGAAAATAAATTACTAAAAGTGTTTGAGAATTTGTTTACAAGTTAAAAAATAAATTAATTTTTAATTAAAATGTTGCTCTGGAAAGTATGCTCATTGATTTGCTTGCTGTGTATACATTCTACATTTCAAATTGAGCTGGATAATAACTATTTAAATGTGAGAATAATGAGTGCTACTTAAAATTTTTAGATATAGAAATGTGGGAACAATGAAACGACTTTTTTAACCGACTTCACAAAAATGAGAAAGGTTATCCATTCCTCGGAATATTTTTTTTATGTATGTTACCGCATTACTTTGGACCACGTTTACTGATTTCTATAATTTTTTTTAAAGGAAAGGTGCTATAATCTTAAATTTTTATATGAGAATTGAGGTCGGATTTGTTTTTTGCTTAAAAATTAATTGTTGGTATAAAAGTTTATGGAAAAAATTAATTTTGCATTCAGTTAATACAGGTACTCAAAAATATTCAGAACAGCCGAGAACACCAAATGGATTTTATGAGGAGCAGTGGTCGAAACTACATAGGTCCTATGGAGTGGTAGTTGCTATGCACCCGTTACAACTAATCCACAGCGGCCGGTATTGAGGAGTTGCTAAATAGTAATAATATTTTAGCGCTTATCATTTCACTTAGTGTTTGGCCGAGCTTCTCCTTTAATTTGTGGTGTGCGTCCTAATCTTAGAGCCAAATGGACTGAGTGAGAAGCTTTTTCAAGACAGAATTACACTCGGATGTTTGACGTTTTTTTTTTATTTGAATACTGCTCGGACCATGGATCGACCTCGGTCCTACGGAGTGGTAGTATGCACCTCTATCGATTTGGCCACAGCGGCTAGATTTCTAGGAAACAAAATTTGGAGATTTGTGATCTCGAAAACGGGACCTACCTCAGCTTATAGAATTTTTGGTGCTCATTGCAAACCCGTTTTCTAGATTTTTTAGCAAGTCTAGTTTTAGAGAAAAAATTGTTGTAGTGTCAAAAATAACAAATTTCAAAATTTAAAAAGAAATTGAATTTGGACATAATGTTTCCTAAGAAAAAAAAATATAACGTTTTAAAAACAAAAGCAATTCTTTTTATGGATTCTACCTCATTTCGATGAGTTGAGTAGAAATGGGTAAAACAAATCTTGTTTTCTAGATTAAACTCGTCTCAATTTGATTGAACTGATTTGTGATTTTCGGAATTTTCGAAACTTTTCAAGAATTTGTTGCGATGTTGGTTGTAAAACACACCAAATTGTTGAAAATTTAAAAACTCGGTTAATAACCACGCCCACATCCCTTGTAACGGTAATTTAGAGAAATACGAAGTCTTCGATAAACCAGTAAATACGGAAGCTAATTTATTCAAAATTGCTGTTTGCAATAATTCATTAGCAAAAAATACGTTTATGATAAAATTTTGGAAAATGGACGTGACACCGCCTACTTATGACCACATATGTGTATCTCGGTAACCGTTTGACCAATTTGTACCAAACTCGGTGTGATTGTTGTGCTGGCCACGTATAAGCAAAACTTTGAATTACCCCACTTTTCACATAACGGTAAATTTCAGAAATGCCAGAAACTTCGAAACTTAAGGACGCTAATTTACTCAAAATTTATACCAACAAAAATCCCTTCAAAAAAGTAGCATTATTATAGAATAATAAGAAGAATATACTCTTTAATTTATTTTTTTAATTAATCAAAACGACGATTTTTCAGAATAAATTTGCTTATACCAATGTGGACATAAATTGCGTTATGACCTCTGAATCTATAGCGGAATAAGTGTAATTTTTTGTTTATAAAGTCAATTTGCAATTATGCAAATATTTGTGAGTGCAATTAGCAATCTTTTAAGTTAAATTTCAGCTTTTAAAATAGAGTTCTCAAATAGGCGTCGTTTACTTACCTTTTTTTGTTTGTTTTCATATGTTAATGCTTTAATAAATGCAATTTCTATTTGAATGTATTGTCAGGAATGTATTCCAAGTACCATTAAGTATTTTAAAAACAAAAAAAAATTTGACTTTCGTCCAGTTAGATCTGCTATCCGAACCACTGTGCCATGTAAAGGCAGCATCAAGCTCAAGTCTCGGAGTCCACGCATATAACAAGGTGTCGGTAACGTCGATAACGATGTTTAACCGGAGATTAGTGTCAACTAGACTTTGAGTAAATAAACCTAATACATCCAAACCGAATCGTGAATCAGACGCACCGAGTATGACGCTTATTATATTCTGGTTATTAATAAACTTTTTCGTCTACGTGAAATTTGCTACTTTGGTTCAAATCAGAATTTATGACACCAAAAATCTGGAAATGAGCCAGTTAGGTTGACTGCCCCCAAGATTATATTTATGGCGAAAGAAAGACTCATACATTCTGAGCGCTCATAAAATTGTTTGAAGGGTACTTTTTAATTGTACTTTTTCTTTTACAGCACAAATTAAGTGGCGTCATTCAATGGAAGTATGAGAAGCGGCCGTTTTGTAATGCTTTTACAGGTATGTAGTTGTATATTCTATAACTCTGAAAAGGTATAAAATATTTTTTATGTGAAAATGCTAGGTTCTGTTTTCGCAGTGAAAAATTTACCTATATATATATATATACATATGTATGCACATTAGGGTGGTCCAAAAAAAAAGTAAAGTCGGAATCTTAATGCTCTCACCCCCAAGAATTGTTCTATATCGAAAGCGCTCAAAGTATTCCATGTATTTTATATAGGGGAAAAAACAAATTTTCGTAGAAATTGTATAGAATTCTTGACAATCAATATTGTTCGATCGAAAAACTCTGGTTCTCTTCAGGAGACTTCCAATAACAATATCCAATGGTTTATTTAACCATTTTTTAATACTGAAGAATTTTAATTTATCCTTCCAATGCATTTTCTGCCATTTTCAGGGGGCTTGGCGGACCTAAAAAATAAAAATAAAATAGGGATATATATCGATATAGAACAAATTCCGACTTTACTCAGCAGCCAAACTGTTTAATCGGAATCTTTAGAAAAAATTGTGGTATGCAGTTTTGCAGCCCATTAAATTCTAGTTTAATAAAGTGCAAGTTTCAAGTTGCTGAAAAATCCCGTTGATATTTGAGAATTTTTTTGGTTGAAGGTGTTTCACGTTTTTTTCTGCAATGCGCTGACTGATTAAAATGATGGCTTATGTACAGGGAACGGATTTTATGGAAATTGCCTTTTTTTCTGCTAAAGAGATAGAGTATATTCGATTAAGAATGTCCCCGAGTTAGCTTTCCCTGATTCCATATATACACATTTGAAGTTGCCTTTTTTTTTTTGCCTTTTTTAAGATATTTGCCTTTTGTTTGCCTTTTTTAAGATATTTGCCTTTTTTTCATATATGTAATACTCCTATATTGGCAGTAAGAGCTAGTACCGTCCGAAAACACTACAGTACAGATATATCAATAAACACGTACGAAAGAAAAGGAACACAAACGTTTATAAATAAACATGTACACAACACATAAACAAAAACGGCACTCAAGTACACAATACATTGATAAAAACAGTACTAGACTGTCTCGCTTTGATTTCGGAATACTTACACATTGAGAAGTTAGCTTACTGCCAATATAGAAGTATTACATATATGCTTTTTTTGCCTTTTCTACCTTTAAAAAAGTGATTATAGCATTTACAATTTTTCAATGTTTCTACACAGAGTTGGGCATTATTCGAATAAATTGTTATTTAGATAATCATTCGAATAAAATTTTATCCGTAATATAATTATTCGCAGATAACTTATTCACGAATAAATTATTCGTGAATAAATTGCTTGCGAATAATTTATTCGTTATTTTAAATAATGAATAAAAACTCATTTTTAACACATTGAGCCACCTTTTATTTTATTTTATTTCTATTGTCAAGGATTGTAAGTTAGCTGAATTTTGTTTACTATTTTATCAAGAATACTAGCCCATTCCCTCTGGTTTCGCGGCCCCTGATAAGATTTTTTGCGTTGGCCAATGCAAGAATAGCGTTGAAAACCAAATATGGGTAAAGTAAAAATTCTCACACATATTTCGGCCAAAAAAATAGCGCTCTGATGTTATATGCAAGAAAAAATTCCTTTCAATGTCATGAGCTTTACCAATGGTCTTATTTCCACTTGTGAGATCTTTTCTAAGCGTGCGTAATCTTCTTCTATGATCTTGCAACTACAACATTGGTCTGATGCGTCAACCTCTAGTCTTATGTCATGTAGGCCAACAAAAGTCCTTATAAGGATGCTGAAGAGCACAGATGTGCGTTTTCTATTATAGGAGAGCCAAAAATCCTCGATGTAAAATTTGGCCATTGATATAGGAATTGGAAGGATGTGGTCGAAACTTTCCTTGCTGATTCGCCACTTTTAAAATATCCAAGACTGGTTTCCTTGAGTCTTACTGCTGCCGCAATGGCCGCCCGAGCAATTTCATCAAGCGAAGGTAGATGCAAGGTCGCATTTAGGGTATATGACGACGTGGGACATCGTAAATTCGTATAATATAAACATAAAAAACAAAGGAGTCCAGACATATGGGGTTTCTAGAGATTTCGACTGCAGCACCATTATGAATTGCAACCTGATTGTATAATAAGTAGGGATTTTCTAAATAACTCAACTGTAGCGCCATCTAGCGGGTCCATTTTTCGCATAAGTATTTTTCATCATGCCGGACGAACACTTTTGCATTTGAACGAAATCAGTTCATAAATACGGCTTTTATAAATAACTCGGCTCCATCGCCACAAAGGAGTTTTCTAGTAGCTTTTAATACTACTTTATGCGCATGGAATAACCTCCGAAAATTTGATTTAAATCTATCTAGGGGTTTGAGTTAAATCACAACAACGAAAACGGTTATCATTTTATACATAAATATATGTACATATCTATATACATAAATTACTTGTTTTATTATTATTTTATTCGTTATTCGAATAATTTATGAAGATAATAATCATTCGAATAACGGATAGCATAATTTATCCGTCATTCGAATACTTTTTTTTTGAATAAACAAAATTATTTCTTATTTACGAATAACAAGAAAAACAATTTATTCATTTGTTATTCGTCATTCGAATAAATTTTGCCCAACTCTGTTTCTACAACTACACAGATTAAAGTTTTATGAGTTAGAAACCCGAAAGGATAAAATAGTCAATGATTCAAAGTACAAATTTTTCATATAATGAAACTAGTTCATAGTTTTTCTCTTTTTATTTGTAATATAAACATTTCTAAAAAAAATATATTTTTTGATTGTTCTTCGTATTTTCTGTCTTTTTTAGTGCCTTATTTTGCTTTTTTTGCAATACCTTTTTTGCCTCGTCCTGCCTTTTTCGCTATTTTATTTTGCCTTTTCCAGCCTATTTCGTTACTTTATTTTGCCTTTTTTATAGGTTTTTAGGTCCTAAAAATCCGTTCCCTGCTTATGTAGAATGTAAATAATCATACATATCTGGATTAGTTTTAGAGAAGTGCTAGTATATTTTGCAACTTTTAATGATTCAAAGGTCCTTACCACCCGTCATACCTTGTTATTTTTAAAGATGAAGCCCGTTTGATGCTGTAAGGATGCGTGTTTCGAAGAAAACATAATCAGGTCTGGTTCAGGCACTGATATAAAAAGTGTGCTTCAAAGAAATAGTTATTTTAGCGGGTGTCTCTTCTTTGAATCCTAGGACTTCCTTACCTTTGGTAACCCCTAATAAAATGTCAACGACCAAACAGTAATTTGTAGTCTAAAAAGCAAAAAGATTTTATCAGACTGAAATTATTCACCGTATTTTAATTATTTACTCTCTTCATTGACTCATAATTATTAAATACTTTTTAAATACTTTTTAAGTTAGGTCTACTGAAAACAAGTGTTCCTATTCACTGATTGTATATTTATTTTTGTTACATTTAATTCAAAGGCTGCGGCAAGAAACGGTCATCTCTTCCACCTTATCCCTTATGGAAACGCGCCGATATTGATGAAGCAAAAGCGTACAACAGCGATGATGTGGCCGAAGGACTAAGTGATCTCATCGATATAAATGCTGAACCGGCTGTGGAAAATGTACAAAAACAAATTATGTCCCAGGCTAAAATATTTGAAGCCATTAAAGAGGCCAGCAAGGAAATATTCCGGCAGAAGAATAGACAAAGAATGAGGCAACTTGAAGATAATCAAGATACAGTTGAAGGAGTTTAAGCAACAAAAAGAAAAGGAATGAAAAGGACAAGAACAAAAAGTTATAGAAAGTGTTAACGCATATAGAAAAGAAGCTATAGTAATAAAAAACTCTTGAAAAAAGTAATAAAACTAAAACTAATAAAAAATTTACAAATGCATGTAGCGTAACTACGCCTATGTAGTTAGTAAAAACAGTTCAGCTCGAATTATTTCATATTTTTTAATTAAATTAATATTAAAGGTCTTGAATAGCACTAAAACACACTTCGTGTTCGAAGGATATAGAATTGTGTGAGGGATACACAGCTGCAAGCAAATAAAAAAATGCAATAAATAATACATTTTTTAAATTGAGGCGTTAACATTTTTTTCGAATTTTGTACAGTGAAATCGTATTGCGCGTCTCAAAATCTATAATATTAGTATAATAAGAAATACAAAAAATTTGTTCTTAATAAATGCAGTGGATTCTGCATGTTTTTTTTTTTTTGAGGACCACTATTTTTTACCAATTGTTTTAATGTGAAGGAGTAATTGTGGTCCAATGGTAATATTCTTCCGTGAATGGGAATTACATTAGCTTTCAGAACCATTTTATTTCATATCAAAATGCTGCTTCTGTCGAAAGCGCTACGATTAATTCGCATGCAGTGTTCAAAAAGCACACTGTGCATTTATAAACAATGTATAAGATAATGAAATGAAATATCTTTCATACTTGGGCGTATAAAATTTTTGATTCTTATTCAGTAAATTTAAGTAAAATTACCACATCATATGATAATTTTACTTTTACAGCTTCTGACTGTCATTCACCTGGAAGTGGTCGGATGTGATTATTTTGCGTACGGTTCAAATCGCAGCTCACGACGTCCAGATATTTATGTCCGCGTATTCTCTGAGTAGCGACCAAACATCCTTTTGGGAGCGAACTAAATTGAGAAGGCGTAAACCGACCCCGATGGTCGAACATCTATCCGCATTAAAGCGATATTCTTAAACATCTCGCTCATATTTGCCAATGCCCCGATGGGAGAGAAGGTCGAGGTGCCCAAGGATATCTTCTATGAACGCTTGGAGCGTGCATATGAGGGCTGTCGCCTACATGATATCAAAATCATGCTTGGCGATTTCAATGCCAAGGTGGGCAAGGAAGGAACCTTTGGCGCCAATGTCGCAAAAATTCAGCCTCCACAATGAAACGTCCGATAACGAACTGAGGCTGATCGACTTCGCCGGGGCCCGAAACATGATATTAGGTGCGTTCGTTTAAAATCTCCAACAGAAACCAACCAACTGCCAAATTCCGGCGAAATGTCATCTGTTCGCTCACAAGAGAGAAATATCCAAAATAGTACGCGAACAGAAAATTTGCAGAAACTTGCAAGTTAGACGAACAGCTGATATAATTTTTGTTTACATTCAAAAGTGTAAAATTTAAAACGTTCGAAAACTCATTACAAAGTGGTATCCTGGCACAGTTTATTGATAAAACAAATAACTACTTACTTCTTACAAGTTTAATTAGTCGCATTTTGTAATTTTTAACTTCCAAATCATCAAATTCAATTTTGTGATTTGCGTAAATGCCAACCAGCTGTTTTTGATCAGCTGTTTTCCTGTTGGCAAATTGCTGTTGGCAAAAATTTTTCCAACAGAAACCAGCAGCTTCCCCTCAAAATGAAATGTCACTTTGCTCTCTCAATTTCCCCTACTTTGCAAGTTTTTTGCGTACGCGAACGCAAAAACTTGTAAGTTTTGGTTAAACATGAACAATTAACAGCTACGCGAACGAACCTATTACGTAGTACTAGGTTCCAGCTTAAAGATCATCATCAAGCTATACGTCACGTCGACCATGTTGTTATAGACGTAAGGCGCGCTTACAGTATTTTGGATATACGTAAACTCCGAGGGCCAAACATCGACTCGGACCACTATCTTGTTGCATCCAAGATAGCACCCGCCTCTGTGCAGCAAAATACTTGCGCCCAACAATGCAAGCAAAGCTTAACGTCGAAAAGCCAATCACAACAAACGGCCAATTTATTCGCCGCCCGATTTTCCCATATCTTCTCTCTGAGAGCGCTCTTCAACAAACCGACATACGCAAGCAGTGGAAACACATTTCTCGCTCATTAAGTACCGCCGCCGAGGAAGAGAGAGGCCGAGATACCTGAGTGCGAAGAGCTTGAAATGCTGGCTGACAGGACAAACGCCTGAACATTTTATCAGAGAGTTAGGCAACTTACGAAAGGTTTCAAGGCCAGGGCCAACCCTGTAAGCACCAAGAGACCGATGTCCAGAACGTACTTAAGTTATGGAGGGAACACTTTTCCACGCTATTGAAATGAAGCAGCACTGAAAGTAGTGGAGAAGCGAATCCGGGCTTCCACACCTTCATTGGGATTAAGGCCATTTCTAATGAAAAATTTTGTGGAAAATCCACAATAATTTACACATGGTAGAAGTTATAACACACATCTCTTCTCTTATTCCGTTTAGTAATTAACCGATTCATAAATAACTAAACAAAAATTTTCAAAAGCTAGTCTATTGCTAGTTGGAATTAAGGCGATATCGAAATTGTGGTTTTATTTCCAATCGCCATTATGGCCTTATTGCGTATGGTGTTATAGCACCCCACCGTAGCATGTAGCGTTCTAATATTTGTTTTATAAAATACTTTAATTGCGATCTTTTGCTGAAGATTGATTTAAGAAGTCTAATGACGTGGGACTCCGTTGGGAATACACTTGGGAGTCTGCCCAAGACAAGATTTTAGCTTAACGATGCTACAATGCCTATAAAAAGTGTTAGTAAAGATTATATTGAAGTTACATAAAATTTTAAGTTGAATGGATCAACTCGTTAATTCGGAATTATCGCGGGAATTAACTGAAGTTGATCCGGATTAAGTCCTGCAGCTTATCCTCAAAATTAACGCGGATCAGGGAAATTTTCGACGACAACTCTGGCCAAAACGGCCAAAAAGCAGTAGCCGAGTGGTGAGTGCGGCGTACTACAATTCCGTAGGACCCACGTTCGATCCTCGGTTCCAGAAATTGCTAAATATTTCTTCTTACATATTTTGATTTAATATTCAACAATTTTATTAAGCTTGAGGCCATTTTTTAATGAAAACTATTATGGAAAAACAACAATAATAATAATTTTTCCACAATAGTTTTCATTAATAAACGGCCTCAAGCTCAATAAAATTGTTGAATATAATTGTTATAAGACCATAAATAACAAAAACAAATTTTTTTCAATTTCAATTCGTCGGAATCTTTTTTTTATGTATGTTACCGCATAACTTTGGACCACGTTACGCGATTTCTATAATTCTTTTTTTAAAGGAAAGGTGATCCCATATTAATTTGGTTTAAATCCGATCATTGGATCATGGAGGAATTAACCATAGTATTAAATTTTTATATGAGAATTGAAGTCGGGTTTTGCTTTTTGCTTAAAAACTACTTGTTTATTTGATTTTCATATTTTTATTTATTTGTTTTAATTTAAATTTATTAAAAAACAGTGCACAATAACTAATTAAAAACAACATTAAAAAATATAGTTACAGCTGAATAAAAAAAAAAAAAATTAATGAAAATTCTACTGGCCGTAGGCCTCAAAACCAGATCAACGTTGCCGCCTGTCTAAGATTTTATGCGATTGCTATAGGATTTTGGTGAGTTTTTCGAAATGTGGGCACGAGTTTAGTTTATTTGGATTTAAAAAATAAAACGATGCTAATGATAAAAATGTAGGTACATATGTATATGTACTCATGTACAAAAATATACTTATCTAAGAATTACTAAAATGTTATTCATTTAAATATTTTGTTACATGCAGAAATACTTTCAATAATCTTAGCACCAAGGAAATTACATTTAAGTTTCAGAATCTTATGCCTACTATGTATTAATTTTGGACCTGGGCTTTCTTCGATAGACGTACTTTGACGCCACCTTTCGGTTGAATACCCACGGAGTGGTTATCGATAATAATTTCTCGTCTACTCATAATTTCAATATTGAAGTTTTGTAAAACTTTTACAATGCCCAACTTCGAGTTGATCATGCCCATACGCAGAGCAATACACTGACGTGGGCCAGCGCCGAACGGCATGTAAGCATTGGCATTATAATTTGGACTTCCAGGCAAAAAGCGATCCGGGTCGTATGTCATCGGATTCGGAAAGTATTGTGGGTCACGATGAATACCGAGCAGTGGTATAACAATGGGTATGCCTTTCTCGATGACATGACTGGTGCCGGGTATGGTGTAGTCTTGTGTACATTCACGATTCAAGAAGGGCAACGGATATTTGCGATTGGTTTCTGCAAAAGAAAAAATAAATAAAATAAAAACATTTCAATGATTTTCTTCCATTGTTTTGATTTGCGTTATCAATCACCTTGTAAACATAATTCGAGAAAAGACATTTCACGCAAGGCATCATAGCTCAACTGACCGTTGTGGCGTTCCAGCACTTCATCCACTTCCTTTTTGGCGCGTGCCAACAGGTCTGGGTATTGCGCCAATTCGAAGATGGTGAAAGCAGCTGAAGAGCTAGTAGTCTCCTGACCAGCAATATAGAAAATGAAACCCTGCGCACCAATGTGGTCGATAGTGAATTCGTTTTGTTCGCCAGTGGCTATGGGAAAGGGAATGTATAGGCAAGGTCTAAGATACGGATACATATATACTATATGGGACATGATTTCAAGCGTTTCATACCTGCATTGGGTTTTGTGGTCCAATTTTCATCATCCTCGGTGATTTTGCCCGTGTTCCTTAGCTGCATCATCAATTGCAACATATCCTTGCGTACTATATTGTGTTTCTCGCGATATTCAATTGTCTCTTTCATAATGTCACGCAAACCAACGGCTGTGTAGTTTTTTAGACCCAAACGAAACATGAATTTGATGATGCTGTCAAGTGCATATAGGGAAGAAAAAGAAGTTAAGTAGTGGCTCTACACAGATATTTTCAATTGAAAACTAGTGTTAAGATTTACATATATTGAACCCCAATTTCTACATATATGCATATTTACAGCCAGGGTATCCTATCTACATATACCCCCAAAGAACTCGCTGTGGAGTTTATGGCAATCAGGCAATAACTCCTTATAACATTCAGGGTAGTAAACCTAAGGCAGGAAGTTGAGGAATAATAGGAACTTTGGACAAATGCTCGTCCGAAGCCCTGAATGTAATTTTTACATGGAAATTCTGGCTAATTGTAAATCTTTTGTAAGACAATTGAAAGACAGTAGGCACGATGCTCTCGGTTTGAAAGATTCATTATTCTGGCATGAAAGTCTTACAAAAAAAAACTATCTTGCAGTCGCAACGGCCGAGTCAGAAAAACATTCGAAGATTCGAAAGATCCAAGTTTTTGGAGATCTCGGGCAGTGTATTTTTTAAGTTTTTTCTTTTGTTTTTGTTATTTTTTGGCCTTTATAACAATTATATATATTTTTTCAAATTATTGTTGCTTTTCCACAATAAAAATTTTCATTTAAAACGGCCTCGAGCTCAATATAAATTGTTGAATATAGTTTTTTCTTTTGTTTTTTTTTTATTTATTTTTCTTTGAATTAATACATGTTATTGTTGTAAAATTTCTTAGAAAACTATATTTTTTATGTTTCTTTTTTTAATTTCACTCTTGGATTTTATCGTTGTAAAAATAAAAAATATATCTACATATCGTCACCTGAAATGCAAAAAGACGTAACAAACATCATCGTTGAAATGCAAAAAGTCATCATTAATAAAAAAATTCAAAATTCAATTTTTGATTTATATGATGGATTTCATTGACTTACAACTATCCACATCATTTTATGAAAAAATAATTAAAATATTAATCATAACTTTTCCATTTCATTAACGATGTTGTTACGTGTTTTTGCATTTCCGGTGACGATATATATATTTTTCAATTTCATAAAATTCATAGAAACCTATTTTTGATTTCTTTTAATTTTAAGATTATATTTTTCTTAAAAGAAACGTGTTTTCAATTTTTTTTATTTTGTAGGAACTTATTTTAAATTTTTTAATAATTATAATTTTTTAATTTAATTTTCATTTAATTTTTAGATGTTATGGCTCTAAAAAGAAATATATTCGCTTTTAAATCACTTAACTTTTGGAAATTTTAATAATTGTGTTTTTTTTAGATACCTTTTATTTTTATTTTTTTAACACAATTTTCTTTTAATTTTTAGTTTTTATACGTTTAAAAATAAAAATATATGTATGTACATTTACATAAGTAATAAGTATACAATTATACATATTTTAGAATGCAATTTGCATGGAAAGAAGAAAATAAACATACAATTGAATTTTTTACTTAACAACAAAAAAAACGCCGACTTGAATATAAAAATCTAGGAGTGCCGTAAATTTCTGCATGATCCATTGAGCGGATCTAACGAAGAAAAAATATATATATATATATCGAAATGAGTCCACTTGATCCAATGTTTTGCTCTGACATACATAAACAAATATTCAGACGAATTAATAACCTCGTTCTTTTTGAAAATTCAATTATAAATTAATTTTTGTGTTTTCATCCAAACAAATATCGATGTGCTTGAGAAAACCCAAAGATGTATAATCTAATTTACTATACCTAGATATTCTAAAAAAATAACATAATTATTGGAGGGGGTAAAAAGTTAAATTTCGCTGGCCTGTGTTTTTAGAAAACTTATTGCTAAAAGACTAACAGAATAGAGCAAATACCCCCAAGTTAGCAGATCTTTAAATTTTTCTTTGGAAAGGCAGAAAAAAGAGCTTACAAGAAAAGGGCTTACGAATGTCTTTTAAAAATGACTGGTATTACTGATATGGAAGTTCTAACCTACAAAAAAAGTACAGTGTAAGGAGTCACGCCAGATAAAAAAAAAACCCAACCCTAATACATATATATATTATTAATTTTATTATCAGCTACACATATCATATAAGTACTTACGACGGGCACAAGAATATAAACATTGCAAAATTGGCACTGAACAAATTGTTACGGCGCGCTTTGTGTACAAGGGTTCTGAATTTATTCTTGGGATCTTCAAAGCTGTTGATTTCCAAACCAAAGATAACAGAACCGATAATATCAATGGCATAGCTGTGGAATAAATAGATAAGCATAGAATCAATTCGTAGTTTTTTTCTTGTTATTTGTATGACTCAGAGAGTAACGAGTAGTACGTAGACTCATTTTGGACTCATACTCACGTCACAAATACATCTTTCAAGTCCAACTCTGCGCTACCCTCCTCCGGCAGCACTTTATTCAGATGTGCAATCATTTTATTGCCAATGTCGTCGGAAGTGTGAAACATTGCCTTCAATTTGCCCGAACTGAAGGAAGGTGTAAGCTTCTGACGCAACGAGCGCCAACTTTGACCGCGTAAACCAAATAAACTGCATGACAAGGGATCACGCTTCTCGTCCACATAAATGCCACGATCGTGAAAACTACTAAAATCTTGTATAAGTATTTGTCGCGCCAATTCGGGATCGCGTATTAGCACCGCCGGTCGAAAGAGTAAATAAACGCCCACGAATGGTGAATTTGACTTTAAGTAGGCGTCATAAATTGCCACGCCCATAGATTTTTCATGTTTCACCACCGATTTCAAACAACCGCAAGGAATATGCGTATCCGGATCGGTGGGAAAATTACGACGATTCCAATAAGAATACTGCTGTCTGATCAACCAGAAAAGTATTGTAACCAGCAGTAGACCAAGGAGTAGCACAATCATTTTCACTTAAATGTGTTAACGTAATTACATATGTTATTTTGTTGCACTTTGAACAACAAGTATTTAAATGTTTATAATATACATATATGTAAGTCGTATATGAACCGGTATAAGAGTGAATAAGAGCAATATTGACTACTACTACGCTTCTTTTCTACGTCCTATTTGGCGTATGGCCTGCAATAAACTGATTCTTGTTTGGGTAGCTGCACTGCTGAATTCATGAAAAAAACCCAAACAAAGGCGAGAAACGATCCCTGCAGCAATAAGGCGGCCAATTTTCCGTTAAGGACTAGTACTTCACTGGTTAAAATTTGACTGATCAGAATTGGACATTTGCTTGCATCGCAAAATTTCAGCCTTCGACCAGTCAGCCCCCAAGGAACCGGCCTAGAGATAGACGCACAGTTTGGCAGTGACAGGGTGATGTTGTCTTGCAATTCAATAAAAAAAATTTAAAGAACACTACCCTGTAAATGTCCCAATCGCTTGGTCTGGCCTTGATGCAAAGTGAACATTTGTGAGGCTGTAGCCCAGTGCGCAGAGATGCTTGCCATTATTTGTTAGCTTTCAGGAGGGTCCGGGTTCAAATGCCGTCAGAAGCAACATGGTTATAAAATGTTATTTTTTTTTGTGTATTTCCGAATTATGAAAAAGCATCTGCGAAGTGCAGAACGCAATCTTACTCCAACGAAAAAAATCTCCAAAATTGGACTAGTCCAGGACTATTTTACGGTCAGTGTTGATTGGACCGGTCCTTTTCCAATGACACGCCAATGCTAAAATGGCAGTTGAAACTATTGGCAGGGGAATTATGAGGGACTAGTGCTGGTAGCAATAGAGACTATCTGAGGGCTAACCTAGGGCGAGTGTGAATTGCTGCAGGGATCATACAGTGACGTTATCTTGTGCATATTTACACATGCATAAATATCTCCATATGTACATACGTAGCAGTAGTATATGTTATGTTTCTAATCAACAAACAGGGCGGCTTTTATCTCTCTGGCTTTTATTTAAAACTTAACTAAATGATTTCATGGTTAATTGATGAGATTGGTTGTTTTTAGCGGACTATCTAATAAATATCGAGGTGCATTTCACCACAAAGAAATTTTGGCAATTAACTACACTACATACTTATGGATGTACTATATATAATATATGATTATAACTACATAGATAGCTACGAGTAGAGCATGAGTTCGATAATAACCCCCTTTGGCGCCGCATAGTGGGGCAAAAAAGGTTGCTGTGGACAAAATCAATTTTGACAGCCCAAATATGAACCGATTTCAAGTTCTTTTTTTTGTTAAGAAAAGATAATCAAATTTCGCGTGGAGCTATGCGTGGCGATTTTTTTAAAAAAGCTCTGGATTTTTAATTATTTATGTTGAAAGATGAAAGAAAAAAATTTTACGTTTGAATGCTTCCACTTTTTTGGAAAAACTTGAAATTAATTTCAAATGTCTGCAATCATTTTAAAAATTATTCATAAACACTTTTCTATAGGATAGATTTAGTTAAAAAATGTATTTCATTTGTTATCTATACTAATATATATGTATGTTTTTTTTTTTTTGACGTTTTTCTCTGTTCGAAATAGTCGAGAGCAGCTGCACCGATATTTTCGAAATTTTAAACAAAAGATAACAAATTAAATAACTTTTTTAACTAAATGTGTCCTATAGAAAAATGTTTACGAATATGTACTTTTTTAAATAATTGCAGACAGTTGAAATTAATTTAAAGTATTGTCCAAAAAAGTTGAAGCTTTTAAACGTAAAATTTTTTTTCGTTAATTTTTCAACACAAATAAATAAAAACTTGGAACTTTTTAAAAAATCGCTGCGGATAGTTCGACGCAAAATTTAATTATATTTTATTAAAAAAAAAACTTGAAATCTGTTCATATTTGGGCTTTCAAAATTAATTTGTTCACATCAAATTTTTTGCCCCACTGTGCGCCGTAGGGCCGGTGCTTTTTGTTCCCGTGTTGCATAGATCCTAAAGCAAGGCGATGTAGTTTTATGAGTGATCTTCACATATCGCACACGATCTTACAAAGTTACACAACTCAAAATTTGGCATTTTTGAAAAAATTCACTAAAAATTTACAGAGCTTTTATTTACCTTTCAGCAAAATCTGGAGCAATTTTTTTTTTTTATAAATTATTGAAAAAACCTTAGGTAAAGTCTGCCTTGCCCATATGATTAGCATGTGCTACGAAATAGATTTTCGCATATTCTGACGAACGTGTAATTTTGAGTTGTGTCACTTTTGTGTGTGTTTTCGACGAGAGAGGACTTTACTTCTCAAATGCCTATTCAGTCCAAAGTACCACTAGGTGGCATGAGTGATTCTCCCTTGGATTGCAGGGCTGACATTATTACTTACTAGAGATTATGGTATCAACAACTTCTTTTCATACTGGCGAAAGCGGCTTTGAAATCTATAAATAGGTGGTGTGTGTCGAACCTATTCTCGCGGATCTTTTCCAATATTTGGTGTGTGGTGGATACGTGATCTCTGGGGAATTACCAGGACAAAAGCCACACTGATAAGGCCCAATCAGCTCGTTGACGGTGGGCTCCAGCCTTTCACACAAAGGCTGATGCAGCGGTGGTGGGCGCATATGGCGTAGTCGCCTTTCTTGTGGATTGGGCAGAGATCACTTAAATTCCAATCATCGGACGCGTATCTGTCCAAATTTTACATAAGAGTTTACATGCACCTTATCAGCTTGTCGCCGCCGTACTTCAATAGCTCAGCTGGCTGTCAGTTCCAGCAGCTTTGTTGTTTTCCAGCCGCGTAATTGCTATTTGTACCCCGCAATAATAAGGTATTGAGACATCGACTGCGTCCAGATCAGTCGTTGTCGTCAAGCTCAACTAACGGATTCCCCAGTAAGCGAGCAGCCTCAACGGGGTCTGTCCACAGGGGAAAAGGCGTTAGCTTTGTCAGGTTTTCCGGGCATACGAAGAGATGTTTCGAGTCGTGGGGTGTCTCTCCGCATGTCGGACACTCATTTGGCCCATCTGCGTCTAATATGCTCAAGTATGAGTTTAAACTGCTGCAGTTGTCAGACAGAAGTTGGGCTATTGTGGTTCTAGTTGTTGTTGTTCTTGTTGTAGCAGCATACAAGTTCTCCAAAGGGTTTTTGGGGAGTGTTGCTGGAGTGACAGTCCTTGGCCAGATATAAATCTGGGTCGTTCCGGTTACGTAGACCCGACTGTAGTGGGAACGTCTCCCTATGTGGTTATACAAGTAAAAGTAAAAATACTTGTTTGTTTTGTAAACTAGTCAATAAATCTGTTCTGAATTCATGAACTCGTTTGTTTTTTTGTTTTTCAAATAAAATGTGTTATGATTGCTGTACAAAACCAAATTATAATAAAAAATTAACTTTTTTTGTTATAAAATCTTCAATAAAGATATTTCCTGGTTTTTTGAAGATTAATTCATTAACCGGAAGGAAAATTTTTCTGGCAACACTGAGTGCTACAGCAATTAATGTAGCAGTGATGCTGCAGTACTAAATTTAAAAGCTAGTCGTTATGGTTTTAAATCAAATACAGGTTTTAGAAAATCAGTTTGTATATTTGATAAGCTAACGTTGAGCACTTACTTATGTTTCAAATATATCCTATCAACAGGAGTTTTTGTAAATTAAATAAAATAAAATGGATGGCGGTTCAAATTGGTTTTTTATCCTTCTCATCACCTTGTAGTTTGACGTCGAAAATATGCACAATAATGCAACACTGCATACTTTGTAGTTTTTTCTCTGCTGTCAAAAGTTTTTTGACATTTCAGTTGACAGCAGCGGTGTTGGCAATGCTGTCAGTTTCTTAGAAAATTTCTCATAATAAACTTGTGTACGGTGTGCGTGTTTCATCGAAATCTTTCGTTTTCGCGAGCTTCCATTCACTGAAGTGGATAAATGTTTAAACCAAATTTAAGGTTTGATCAAAATTTTACAGGAAGACCGAAGATGTGCAGATAAATAATAGCATCTCATAGAAAAAGTGTACCCAACAGAGTGAAGAACGTGTTGTGCAGTGGAACTTTTGATTTATTGCCGTGCTTTGATTTGGTTTCCAAGTGGGAGGAGCACAAACTCAGCGATATTCCCAAAAAAGGCAAGTAAGTACGAACAAGTAATTTTATAAACAGATACATATAAATATATCTTTATATATATTAGGTAATATTGCTGCGAATTGTTTGTTAAGATAATCAGCATTTTTGCGATTAACATTTCCGATTTTGCGGATATATTTTGTATTAGCTCTCTTTTGGAAGTCACATGTTGTGCTCTTAAAACATATATATGACGCCGAAAAATTTCGCTAGTCTAAAGCGATGAAGCAAACTCAAGGAATATTTATATACACAGAGATATATGTAACTTTTAAGCATCTAAGACTGATTTGTGTTGAAAAGATTATAAAATGATGCGCCCTCAACCGCGCATTTTTACACTACGGTATATTTTTTTATCATTCGTTCATTTTGTCAGCCAAACTTTTAAGCTATCTCCCTACAAAGCCGGTTCATGGCGATTACGGCACTGTCAAAACTACTTTACTGCCTTGCCCAGAGCTATTTATATACATACTTTCGCCGCTTAAATAATTAGGGTATTTAAATCCACTATATATGTACCTTAGAGTTAGCCGTTTCAAGGAAAATGTCACACATCCACATTTTCCTCTTACCTACTTTTGTGTTTTAACGTTTTCTTCCCCTTGCAGACACTAAGTGGTATGCGTATTTGGTTGTAACAACTGCTGTAGTCCCCAACTACTTTAGCCAGCCAAGTTGAATTGGGTCAACGTAATTTCTTGATGCTACTTTTTATATTAGTATGGTGTTGCTATTGTTTTTATAACTATTGCTGTTCTTGCAACAAACTGGTTTCCCATTTTAGTAACTTTTTTTTGGCCTTGTTATTGAATTTGTGCCGAATATATTTTTTGATAGTGCGCATTCGTATAGAGTACATACCTACATAAGTACATAAGCGTTCATACATATGTGCCTGTAGGTATGTTATTCCCTGCAAAAGATGTAGCAAGCAGTGACGTTATGAAAACTAGGTCGTCAGTGAGTTGTCATATCTATGTATGCATGTTCAAGTAATTTAAAATCGAAGTATTCTGCTTAATTTGGAAGGATATAACCATTGATTTAAATTTATATGAATGCCAACATTCCCATATGATCAGCAGTATGGAATATTTCAATCGTTCTCTATCAAGAGATCTACGTTACCAAATTAACTCAGCGTAACGCAGGTACCTTCATCATGCATCTAGGCTGTACTTGCTCATCATTAAATACCGAATAATATACTATCTGACTAGGGTATTTTCTCTGGCAGATTTTGCCTATCAACTTTTGTCGGAACTGGCAAAATGCAGATTTTCGAACCTCGAAGACCTTGTATTGCCATGGAAATATTCGCACTTAAGGATGGCAAAAAAGTATAATTATCGGTAAGTTAATCATATGATTAATCACAAGCAAAAATTAATAATGATTGCAACTGAAAAATAATCGATTAAACGAATTTTTTGCAATGAGTATTCACAAAAACATTTTTCCATAAAAAAATTCTAATTCTCTTGTTAATTTGCCTTAAATGAATTAAAACGAGTATTTTTGCTAATTATTTATTATTTAACCAAAACAAAAAATAAAATTAGCGCCAGCTTTTGAAAAAAGTAATTTTTTTAAGCAAAAAACACAACCGACTTCAATTCTCATATAAACATTTAACATTATCGCTAATTTCTTCATGATCCAATGATTGGTTTTAAACCAAATTAGTATGGGACCCCTGCGAGGTAACACCTTTCATTGAAAAAAAAAGAATTATAGAAATGCAGTAACATACATAAAAAAAAAAAACAAAAACACCTTTTTGTGAAGTCGGTTAAAAAGGCGCTCAGCAGGCACCGAGGTACCAACTAAATGATAGTATTTTTTCGAAAGTCTGTAAAGTTTTGGGTAAACAGTTTTCATTTCCTCAAAATTTACCAACTTGCCTACATACGGCTTATTTACAACTAACTTCTAGTATTTGACCAACTGGTTCGCCGATAAATCAGTAGTGGTATTCACCAAATTGATCGAGTGGCCTGGCATTCTGGCAAAATAGCAGATTAGCTCAAGCAACGACAGCAGCAGCTTATATCTATGCTGGCTTTAATATAATGCGGCATTCCCTTTATTCTTTAAACCACAAGGAATTTTTTGATGAGACCTAATAAAAATATTGACTTGCTAGTATCGGAACTATTTCTGCACGTTTATTAGCCAAAAGTTCTTCAACGGCTCGGCGCCAGTGAGTCATTCGCAATCGAATGCCGCATTATACTAAAGCCAACCTTTCGACGTAAGCTACTGTTCCATACGAACAGAGATATATCCATACATATGTATACACTTTTGGTCAGCTGGTTGACATTTCGTACAGTTTTAGCTATTTTTCTTTTGTTTATTTAATGCTTATAATAATTTTTTTTATAAAAGTCTTGGGCATTACATAAGCAGCACCACATAAATCCACATTTCTAACTTCGTACAAATCCTATAAAAATTAAAAAAAAAACTAACAATTGCACACAAAAATTTTAACTTTTTATTCTGAATTTTTAGAAAAATTTTAGGTATGCAGTTTTATACCTCATTAAATTTTAGGAGGTTAAAGTGCCAATTTCACGGCGCTAAAAACCTCACGTTGATTTTTTAAAATTTTTTTGGCTGACTTTGTTGTGCATTTTCTTCAATATAAAGTATGCTCGATAATTTCTTTAATATGGAAGACAAGGCCTAGCACCGTCAGCAAAAACAATAACAACAATAATAATAATAGATTGGCGCTTTCAAATATGTAAGTGTTTGGCCGAGCTTCTCCTTCGACCCAGTCGCTGAGGAGGGGAAGCACGCACTGCTTACCATTACACCACAGCGGCCGCCAACAATTATTACCTACCCAAGTTTAATGGTCTATAAAACTGCATACCAAAAATATTTCTGAAAATTCTGAATAAAAATTTTAAATTTTTTGTGTGTAGTTGTTAAAGTCTGTTGAATTTTTGTAATTTTTGTGCGAAGTTTGTAATGTGGATTTGCGTGGTGGTGGTTGTGTAATCGTCTAGACTTTTATAAAAAAAAAAAAATATGAACATTAAACAAACAAAAGAAAAATAGCCAAAACTGATCAAAATGGCACTTAACTTAATCAGCTGACCACAAGGGTATGTATGTATATATTTATATGCCTGCAGAACGTATGCGTTTTCCCAATTATTTATAACATTTTCTATGGCACCTGACTTAACGTTGTCTTGTTCCTGGTAAGCTGTCATTGACCTGCTGTTATTATTTGCGCGCGATCGATAAATCGCGTTTATTGTTTCCTTTTTTTAATTTCCTACTCGTTATAAACGTTTATACATTTGTTCTCTTCCAAAAAAAGGAGTGTCGCTCGAGGCATTTATTTGGGTGGCCTGGGTGGAGCATAAAAAATAACTTGCAACACGTTACCCAAGTACATAAATACATATACATATACGTACATATGCACTTGCCATCAAATTCTTTACATTATTCTCCTTCAAATATGGGTGTGTCCTGTGAGTCATAAGAATCGAAAACTTTGGCAACATATTGAAAATATTCTTCAAAAACAGTGCATTTATTTGAATATAAAAGTCTGTTATGAAAATCCAATTCTCATTACTAACTACATAAAATATACATAATACCTACATATATATTTCCCGCTTTTCATTCAACATTTACAAAGTAAGTATTTATAGTGTTCGATAAAAGTACTAAATTTTATTACATCTAATTTTGTTTGCTTGCAGGCTTCAAAATATTAACTAAATAAAAACTTGAGGTAGTGGAAAATATAAGAGAGCTCTGGAAAACCACTAATTCTAGCTAATTTTATCATAGATGCCGTGCTCTTAAAGTAAAATTTATAAATAATGTCTGCGCGCAATTACTATGAAATTTTGAAGACCCCGCCAACAGCAAGCTTCGAAGAGCTGCGTCGTAATTACAAACAATTAGTTCTACAATGTCATCCGGATAAATTACAACATTATAACACCAATAGCATTAGCACAACAACAGCTACTTCGCATTTTGATAATACCATCAGCGGAACTAATGATGCTGCGTCCACTTCTGCAGCTACTGTTGACCCAATTGTCGAAAACCCAACGGCTATGTATTCAGATCAGCACAGTAGAGAATTTGTTGCCATAAATGAAGCATGGAATACACTCAAAGATCCTACTAAACGACGCCTCTACGATGCTGAATTGATGTTGACAAAGCTCCAGGCCCACAGTAATATTTTTGCGCGTTTAACGCTAGCGGACATGAAACGTTGTGCTGCCACAACAACAAACGATGACAGTGGCAGTGACAATGGCGAATGTAATGGCGACAGCGAGAGCATCGGTGCTAAGGGTGGCACATATTGGTACTATACATATGATTGCCGATGTGGCGGTCAGTATATAGTCGATGAGTCAGTGGATAGTGAAATACTCAACAGTAACCGCAACCACAACGGCGCTAACAACGACCAGATGCAAACACAAACAGGAGAGGAACAACAAATACAACAAAAACCAAAACGTTACGATAATGGCATCGATAAGCCAAGTAGTCAAGCAGACGCTGACAGTGGGGCTGTGAGTGGATCTACAGCGATTTGTAGCAGCAACAACAACAAAGGCAGTGAAACGACTGGTTATGATGAAGACATTCTGAATGCTGGCGCTGCTGATGGCGAGGATGGTGAAGTGCTTGTCGAATGCAGTGAATGTTCTCTGGTGATCGTATTGGTTTGAATGCACGAAATGTGTACTGCTGTCGTGGATTGTCTTTCGACACAATACGGCACAAATAAATATTGTATTTATAAAAATAAGCAAATAATTGTGCAAAGGAAAAATAAATAAAATTATGAATAACAATGCGATGATTATTGCGTTCACGAACACCGCTAGCACCATTACCAATCAGCACATGCCAGACAAAAGATGCGAAAGTCAGCAAAAGAAACAGAACAGAACTGAAATTGCTTGAGCTGCACACGAACATTCAAATACATATAGATTAGTGTATGGCAATTAAAAGCTTTCAGCATTAAAAATTTATTTTCGTTGATGTTAAAAAAATGTGCGACATTCATATTTTTTGTACTGCTTATAACAATAAAGTAAATTTTATAGTAGTTTGTGCGAAACGATGCAAATAATATGGAAAATTTCTTTTTTGTATGGACGCGAAGTAGAAGTTGCTTATATTATTTATGTGTAGTAAACTTAACAAATTAAGATGGATAAATAAACAATTTTCATATGCTGAATTTTTTTTAGTCTATAATTTCTTATAATATAAAAGTATCTTACTGTAGATACATGGAAATGTTATTTATTTGCTAAATACTTGTAAAGTCTATAATTCTAAATGGATTCAGTAAAATGGCTTATATATACAATACATATTAGTTCTTTTAACCGTTGACTACTAAAGCCATTTCTAAACATTTCTCACAAACAAATCTATCATTCGTATCCATCATTCGTTTACTATTTCAGTTCTAAACAAAAATTTACATAACTTTTGTTTTCCTTTCGCCAAATTGAAGGCACCTTCGCTGTAGAATGATTGTAAGTTTTAAAAACATATGTATACAAATAAAAATAAAAGCCACAAAAAAAGTAAACTTAAAATTAGCCATTGCGCTTGCGACGCGAACTCAACAAGCTCATTAATATGCGCGACATTGCCAGTTGCTCATCGGAAATGATTTCGTATGTAACTACACAACTTGCAATGAATGCGTCAGACGCAGACAGTAGGCACAAAATTCATTGTATCGAACATACATTCCTACGTACATATGTATGTAAAAATGTATGCATACACAGTGCGTGATAGTGAAGAATAAGTGCGATTATCATAAATTGTACTTTAGCATTTAAGATTATGTATTGTTCAGAGTTATTGGGTATTGAAGAAAAGTCCTTAAAGCTGTACGTTTTTTTTCATTACGCAAAATATTGCATGTATGTACATGCTATGCGTGCCGAAATATAGTGCTTATTAGGGTGCACCTTGTATATTTGAATATATGTACATATGTACTAATTTTGGTGCTTAATTTGTATCAAAACCCTTTGTCCAAAAACATTACGAATCATTATCGGTTTTATGCGAAGCAAGTGCCCTAAAGTGTGCATTAATTGGTGCGAGGCGGTTTGAAAAATATAACTTTACTACTTTAAATTAGGTATTCGATTATACGCACACTCACGGCAAAAAGAATTTTTCGCAATATATGCAAACATTTTTATTTCTTTCCCTATTTTTTTTGTAGGATAACAAAACAAAAATAAAAATATAGTTAATTTCTAAACTCTAAAAAAAACCGAACTTTTTTAACTGAATATTTAGAACATTTTAGGCTATGAATGACGCTCGATCTATAATTTTTTTTTAGCAGTATAATACTTTTTTCAATTCCAAAAATGGATACGTTTTTTACAAAATACTGCATTTATACGAAAAATTACTTTTTTTGCTACCTAAACTTGTTAACGCATAGTAGTAGCAGTATAAATTTATGATGAAAAACGATATAAGCTAACAGCGAATTGTTAGTGGAAACACGTTATAAAAATGCATATACAGTGAGCGTCAAAAATAAGTATACCCTGATGGTTTAACGATTTATTTATTTATATTTTCCAAACCAAATTTTTCGAATTTTTTCTATAAAAATATACATAGTTCTTGCTAATTTTTGTACAAAGTTAAAAATTCGGGTTTACATGGTTTTTGTTAGACGTAGATATCATTTTGTCGCGTGGTGTACAACTGGTACACATACCTAGTACCAATAATTCCTTTATTTTATTGAAAAACTCTCAAAACTACTGTACTGAAAAAAAAAGATTTTTTTTTATGGCGAATTCAAAATATGTTCTTCAGAAGTTACAAGAGTTAAAAGTCGGAGTAGTAGAAAAGCGCCAAAAGGCGGTGACATTTTTTTTTGCTTTTTTCTCGAAACGACTGTTTTAAAACTGCTGTACACGATATCTGAAGATCTACTGGACCGATTTAGCCGACAATTTTTGATTCAATGTCCCGTTCTTAATTTACAAATTTAATGAACTTAACATTTTAATAAAAATTTCCTCTTAATTTCTTCAAACCACTGCCATTTTCGCAAGAAATATTTAGATTTTTTCTTCACGAAGCGCTATAGCTAGCTACTTCATTTTTATATAAGAAATACACTTTTTTGTAATTTTCAGAAAATTACCTATTGTGAAATCTTATACACAATTCTGAAAAGAAGGGGCTAATGAATGACTCATATTTTCGCTATTTTTAACCGACTTCCAAAAAAGGAGGAGGTTATCAATTCGTCGGAATATTTTTTTTTTTTTTTTTT